CAGCTCCCATTAATTACATTAGAAGTCTGCAGCAAAAAGAGTGTAATGAAAAGAAACTGGCACTCACAGCACATGATTCTTCTGCATGATCTACCATGGATAAACTGTGTCTTAAGAGTGCCTGTTTGCCAGAGAATTTTCCAGCTTTGGAAATCAGATATCATTACCAACATCTGTTACATCTTGGGACACTAAGTAGACCTCCAGTCTTTCATAATTTGTTCCCTAATGCCAATTAAAACTAATGACTTGGCATTTTGAAAAACCTTTTGACTTTTTAATATCTTTTTGACACCTGGCCTTTAAGGAATCTTCCTTCAAACTCTGTCACTAAAAGCATCTTTTTCAGTGAAATTCGTATTAAAATGGAATTAAAAGCATGCTATGGCATGGGGTATTTTTTCTTCAAATCCTTATAGCTAGGAAGCACTGCTGATCTATAGAAGAATGTGTGCTGATTTTGAACGGGATAGAGTTAATTTACGTCACAGTAGCTGCTATGGGGCTGTGTTTTGGACTTGTGCTGGAAACAGCATTGATAACACAGGGATGTTTTTGTTATTGCTGAGTAGAGCTTACACAGAGCCCAGGCCTTTTCCTCTTTCACCCCATCAGTGAGCGAGCTGAGGGTGCACCAGAATCTGGGAGGAGACACAGCCAGGACAGATGACCCCAAGTGATCAGAGGGATATTCCATAGCATATGACATCGTGCTCCATATATAAACTGGGGGGAAAAGAAGGAAGGGGGAGGATATTTGGAGTGATGGCATTTATGGTGGTGGTGGAGCAGTGGTGGAGTCACCATCCCTGAAGGTGTTTGAGAGAAGACAGGACACAGCACTTAGAATGGTCTAATTGACATGGTGGTATCTGGTCAAAGGGTGGACCTGATGATCTCAGAGGGCTTTTCCAGCCTCCCCGATTCTGGGATTCTGTTTGTCTTCCCAAGTCACTGTTATGCATGCTGGAGCCCTGCTCTCCTGGGGATGGCTGAACACCTGCCTGCCCATGGGAAATGGTGAACAAATTCCTTATGTTGCTTTGCTTGCATGTGCAGCTTTTGCTTTAGCTATTAAACTGAGTTCTTTCACTTTTCCTCTTCTGATTCTCTCCCCCACCTTACCAGAGGGGGAGAGCACAAGCAGCTGTGTGGGGCTGAGCTAATGGCTGGTTTTAAACCACGACAGGATGTAGATTAGAAAATACAAGAGATGAGTATCAGAAACAGTAAGACAATCTAGGAATATCTCCTGGAAACGGCAAGAGAAAACAGTAAAAAAGAAATGGGGAACAGTGAGACCACAAGCTGTGGTACCAGCCAGCATGCACTGAGGTCTCTGGTTGGGTAGTTAGCTTAGCCTTTCTTGCAACAGAAGAGTGAAGGGATTTTGGAGCAGTTTCTGCTTCACAAGAACTTGGCACCATGTTTTAAAGCAAACTTGCACAACACTGGCACCACAGAAAGGAAACATGTTACGTGCTATGGAGCCCATGGAGGGGGTTGTTACTTTTGGGAGTTTTATGCAGCGTGGATGAGGGAGCGAGGAACAGCAGTGGACAGCTCTAAAGGTTTACATAGACTGGAAGAATTTTGGTCACAGCTAGACCTCCACAGAAAACCTAATGGCACTGAACTTTCTAGTAGAGTCTTTGCTGAAGAGCCTATTTTGTCCCTTATTCTAAAATAGGCAAAGAGATCTTGCATAACCTGCAAAAGGAAATATGAGGCCCTTCTCCATCTGCTCCTTAAAAGGAGGAAGGTGATCAATTCTCTCAGGCATGGCCCAAGCCAAATAGTGTATTAGACATGTCCTGGGAATATGCACCCAGATGAGCCTTGTAGAAATGTTTAAACATTTTGTTTTCAGTTCTGGAATGAGTGTGAGCTGGGATGTGCTTCTCAAGCCTGGGGGAATTCTTCACTGGAGCCATGGGCACAGCTACAGGTCCTTGGTTAACATCAAATAAAAAGTGTGGCATCTCTTGACTTACTTAACAACTGAAGTGCAGTTTTCAGAGTAACAATTTGAGATTGTAGTGTTTATATTCTGCCTAGATCTTATTTCTGACACCCAAATGTGTTACAATTTTGAAGTGACAGAACTCAGATAATACAAAACTAAAAATTTTGAGTTGACACGAAACAACCCTCATCCAACATTTTTGGATCATCAAATTCTTCATTATACAATGCAGGGTACAGTATATGGTTTTATTTGTTTAGATACTTATTTTATGTAAAGTGAGCTTATATGTCTAGAATTTTCCCAATTTTTATTTTTAAAAACTGCATTTTGTCTTTCCCCCCCCCCATATTGACTTTTATCAGAAACAACAGAAATTGCTTTCTTTTCAAGACCTCCTCAAACACAGTAAGTCACACTTTAACATTATGGTTCCAATACAAAATAATGAAATTCCAGTGTAAGAAAACTATACAAAATGATAGCTAGCAGGAAATTAATTCTTATTTTACTTCAATTTACTGCACTTTCAAAGTTGTAGATGTCTATACCGAGTCATACCTGTCAGGGAGAGCATATGACCTTCCATCCCCCTACCTGCTACATAGCAATGATAAGAAACACATCCTCACCTTCCTCTCAGTTCTACCAGCATAACATGCATTTTGTTGCCAGAGTTCTTTTTCCTTCTAATGTCTAGAGTGCTGCTGAACATAAGGTAAAAAAATGAGCATGCAGCCATATAAGTGAATTTACAACAGAAAGATAAAATGTTCCCCAGGGGCTACCAGGAAATCATGCTGCATGTCAGAGGAGGAAGGAGGGGGAGTGGTGGGATCATGCTTATAAGCAGTAATGAATACAACAGATACAAACCTCCTCAGTCTAAAGTGGTCAATGCAAGTGGTTCTGCTTATGCAAACATTAAAAAACTAAATGAACACGGACAACAAATTTTTAAGTCACATTTTTGGTGGGCAGGAAGTAAATGCCTTGTTGTTTGTATTCTGAAATTCTTCTGAAATTCAGTTCTGTAAAACATTGTCTGCACTGGCCCAACTGCTGTACAGGGCATTTTCTCAGTTTTCTATGGTAAACTCAATTCATGGTGGTGCTCCCTGAAATACTCCAGTACATTCCTGACAGTTTCACCAGGAAGTGTTTACTGGAGTTACTGGCTGTAGCCAGTATTTTACCTCTCTTAGATGCACCACCACACTTCAGCAACACCACACTACCCAAGGCTGCAAGAAATACAAATTCCCTGTCTAAAACTGCTGCCTTCTCAGAGTCCATTTTATCTTCAAGTGAAAAATAAAGAATTTAAACAGAAATCACACAAATTAATTTATTATGCTTTTCCCTGTGCCAGGACAAACAGTATTTACTTTCAACTAGAGTACCTTATTATCTGTAAATATTAACTCTGCCAAGTTCTGAGAAATATATATGGGATGTTTTCTACAGAGGCTGAAAGTGTACCATTATCTTCATTCTAATTCTCATTTCTTGGGTTATTTCACACAAAAATGGTTCAGTTGTTTTTAGGTGACTTGTTATTTCACCAGATGTCATATTTTCTTGCTTCATGGACAAGTAGTTTCTATAAATGTGCATGAGAGTAGAAGGAAAATAAGAAAAAAAATACTGTATTGGAAATAATCTAAACCTATTTAATAAGCATTTTAATGTTAGCACATAACAAATATTGATTACCAAATTTTAATCTATAGTTTTACAGTTTAGTCTTAAAATAGTACAAAAAAATTTAACAAAATTTCTAAGCATCGAAGCTGGATACCAAAAATTCATTTAATTAAATGTTTAAGACAACATACCAGATATGCTTATTTTTGATAGTTGGATATGAAACCCTGTGTTTCAAAAATACAGCACTGCAAACATCTTTAAAATATTTATTTGGTGAAATTTGTCAAGATGATTAAATACGTTTGTATTGATCCGCTTTTGCACTTCCCTGTTTGATCAAAAAGCCTGGCTCAAACATTAGATCTACAATATATTCTTGAGGAGGAAGCAGAAGCCCAGCTATTCCCTTGGGAAAGTCGTCAACCAATTTAACTTCATTCCAAGCTCTGTTATACTTGCCACGAACTAAACTACAGCCAATGCCAATCCTGTCCGCTATCACCTAAAAATGAAAGAAGTAGTAGTTAATCACAGTTCATCCATGTAGCTTCTGTGATATACAGCAAGGCCCAGAGATGCTTAAAAAGCAAACAAATACCTTAAAAGTGAAGTGTTTCCTTGAAACAGACTTTATAAACCTCTCAAGCGTGCAAACCTTTACTGTTCATTCTGCTTAGAAAGTGTAGGCTTTTAAATATTATTTTGAGCGTATTCAATGCACATCATGAAAAATATTAATTTTAACTCTTTTCAGATAATGATATATTTGTTTATCAGCCAGTCCTTTAGATCTCAAATGAAGTGCAACACCCACAATATCCAGCAGTATTTTTTTTCTGGTTGGAAGACTTAATTCTGAATAGTATTATGAAGTGTATTCATGCAGTGAGGTGTAGGCCCACTGCACACATATAGCTCATATGAAATATTAAGTGTAAAAATGTAACATTTTCATCAGTGTAAGTTTAGGACTCTTGCTTCGCTCCAAAGCACACTCCTTGCTTTTCAGCCCTGGAAATGTGGGAAGCAATGAAATGCAAGGCAAGTGCCTGCTAGATGAAACACCTGCCTTTCCTCTGTGCTGCACTATCACAGACAGACCTATAATGGTTTCCAGCTACAAAACTGCTTTCTCACCATGCATCTGCTGTGAAGGAATGAAGTCCTGGAAGATTTTTAACTTGTTACAAATGGACAAGGATATCCATTGCTTAGAGTGCTGTGGCTTTAAGAGCTGATCTGTTCCCTACAAAGGTTTCTTAAGACAGTGGAGGATAATTAATTCACAGCCTCAGACCATTCATAAAATAGGTTGGGAACTTTCTCTCCCAATGGATACCATAAATTTAGGTTTGTGCTCTTTCTCCTGTGTGCTCTTTCCTAGGTCCTTCCAGCTCAATGTGCTAGGCCCTTGCTTCTCTTTTCCTTTCCATCCAAGAAAGACAAAAATCCAGCTAAGGAAAAAGTATGGGACAGATAACCAGACTGCACCAGTATATCTTCACATGAAGAAAGAAGAAATGAAACTTCCCAGAAGTTAATGCTTGTGAACTTCTAAGAAACTAGAACATTAAAGCTGTTATATACTATCATAGAACACTGGATAGATACCAAACAAAAATTGTCCCAACAAGTTTACATTTGCAGCATGGAAAAAGAAGGAAGCTGCATAATTCATATTCTACAGTTTACAGAAAACGTAAAATGTTTTGACTCCAAATCAAATATTTTGGCTTTTTGCCATTTATCAAGTATTCTGCTCATATCACTTAAGACAATTTAATGACAACAAGAATGCTTACAGAAAGAGGCAATGTTGGCTTTCATTCACTGGGAAATCAACTTTGCTGGTGAAAAATTACTAAAACGTATACAAAAGATTTACAGGAATAAAAATATGGTATTATACTGATGCAAGTATAGTTTTGAATATCCATTTAAAATCAATATGTTATGTTGCAAAATAAATGTTAATGTACCTTGAAAAGTAAAGCCCTGTGATAGAACGTCCCTTTTTTGATTTTCCCGATAGGCACAATGTTGCATTTCAGTTCAAATTCTATTTCACTTATGTGAAGTTCCCAGCTGAAGTCATGTAGTTTGTCTCTTTCAATAGAGCCACCCATCCTGTCTGCAACAAACCTGTTCCAAATGCATACTGGGATCAATTACATCGACAGTTCCTCTTGTATTTATCACAAAAATGTAGCAAAATGAAATGTATACAACCAGTAAGTGAATGAAATATGAGAGTAATACTCCCTCTATGTTTGCTTAATTTTTTTAATTCAGTAATTGGTATTTTAAATATGCTTACTATAAATATAGATAACCATAACTCAGGTCATTCAGATTTGTCACAGACCTAAAACAAGGTGCAAAAACTGCCAGAAGAGATTCTGGAGAGGTCTAGTATAGGCATGAAGTCCTCAGAGAAAATCATCAATTACTGAGAAGTAATTACAGAAACTAGTGTTCATCTTCGCAGGTAACAGATTAGGTGAGCTACATATTACATTTGTTTGAAATATTAATAAAACCTTGAGAATATATATGACAAAAATAAAGCCACAGGTAATGATTCCAACACAGAAAAGCAACTGTATTCATTGAAGGTACTTCTACATGTGCTTTCTTACACTGAAGCCTGTATTTTGGCGGTGAGAGGTGAGTGTGTATCCATTAAAACAAGTGGCTCAGTCACAGAAACAGATCGGAACTCACAATTTGTGCCAACTCTGCCAAAAGGATGTCTTTTGAGTGAGCACACACACACAAGACCAAGCCCTGATTTGTAAGTCCCCACCTCCTCATACACACACCTTCACCACCCTATGCATGGTCCCTGTATGGAAAGACCTTTGTTCCTTGCAGTGTCTCCAGCCACAGGCACAAGGGTTATTGAGGGGCTCTCGCCCTGGACAAGATGTCACAGAGCTGACATGGAAATCACAAGCCATTGCTTCAGACAGGGAGCTAAAATCTGCATCTCCTCCTCTGCAGAAACTGTGAACAGGTTCTGTCTGCACAGCACAAGCAAGGCAACCTCTGAGGCCTCATTTCTCAAACTGAGGGCTGAGGAAGCACTGATTCCAACAGCACAGGCATGGGGAGCTATCATCAAGCAGGCTGGATGTGGTATCTTGAAGCTGGGAATTACTGGGTGAAGCTGGAATAGTGTGGGCTCCAGGCAGTCCCTCTCACTGTGTGTGCCCATGACCAGCCCCCACTGAACACAGCAAAGCTGTCTGAGCTGACGTGCTCAGCACCGCCGTGTGTGCGCAAAGGTGCGCTGTGTTTGTTCCAAAGGACACATCCAGCACTGCTGGTGTTCCCTCATCCAGCCCGACCCCCTCTCTGGTGAGCAGAGCAGGAACTCTGCCCAGGCTGCCAGGCTGCCGAGGGATGCAGCAGCTGCCTTCTCCTCCCCTCCCTGTTGAACACACGCTATTCAGGCAGCCACTTAAAATGGAACACGCACAGAAAAATCCCCAGAAAAAAAACGTTCTGCTTAAATTTCCCGTGATTGTTTCACTGGGCTGTGTGTCTGCAAGTATTTCACCGGTTAGAAGACTGAACTTTAAAGAGCATTTTATGGATTCCACCTTGAGGAAGGCAGCATGATTTATACACAGCTGGATAGTTAAGGATGAATATCTGTCCTTTCATACTCTGCAATCAACAGAAAAGCCATCCCTCATATCACATTAGACCACTTCATTAAAAATGAGAGTTACTGAAAGTAACAAATTTTGTGAGACTCAGTGGGATCTGACACCAAACTCTCCAGATTCAGGAGGCAGCCAGGAAACTGCTAAGATAATAAAGGTTAAACTAAGGAGAAGATGAAAGCAGACACACTGCTTGGAGGTGACAGTGATTGGTGCCCAGGCTGAATAGTCAGTGTAACTAATGAATCACACATTGATAACAACAGTCTGTACATGCACCAATGCAATATTGTGGCACTATTAAACCATCAGGATATTAATTACAACAGGATCTAAAAACTGCATTAGAAAACTTGTCTCATGCTTTTGGCTCTATAGAAAAACAAAATACAAGAGAGTTCCTGTCCCGAGGGGCTTCCAAACCAAGTAGATAAGAAACACGGTAAGAGAAAGAACAGATATGATACATGTAAGCTGCAACCGTCTTGACTGTTAGGTTGGGGTTCTAACTTGTGTTTTTAGGCTTTGCAGCACCTGAGTCTCTGGAGCTCCTTGATGATATAGATGCTAAAGGGAGCTGATGTGTTCATTGGAAAGGATCAGTACAGTTTCATATAAATGTGAAAAAAAAAAGCCTAAAATTGCTCGTATGAATATTTTCAAAATGAAAAATTTACATCTTTTTGTTGCAAGTGATACTTTATTTCAAAAATATTAAGTTAAAGTACCAGAATTAGAACAAGAAGCTTAAAATCTAAAATCATGTCCACATGCTGGAACACAGCTGATTTGGATTCCAGTTAAGAATGGGAAAAAACCCGAATTTGGAAAAGTTGCTCTTGGATAAGAAAACAGTTATTTTACTAATTCAACTTTTGGAATGTAATTTGGTACTCACTGTGCAAGGGCCACAACCTGTTCCCGGGTAGTAGTTAGTGGTAGAATTGTTTTGGAAGCATCATTAATGTAATCCATTAAAATGATGTCAGATGGCGGTAGCCAAAGTGTATTTTCTAGATTTATTTCTTCCTGGTCTTTAGATGCAATATCAGTAACTTCTTTTGCTTTTTCCTCTTCTGTTTTCCCCTTTCCTTTTCTTACATGGAAAAAAAAAATACATTTATTTAGAATACTGTAATCTCTAAAGTTCAAATACAAATACAGTAGTTCTCCACCAGGACATTTACACAAATTGATTAGGGAGGGATGGAAAGTAGGAGAAATCTTTTCTCTTAACAACAAATATCCAAAATGTATAAAGCTGTAGAGAACACTTGTGGAACATTCCCGCAGGAGATGGTTAGGAACCAAGTGTCACTATCTCTACATTAACAGTGTTGTAAATTGTCATTTTATTTTTGTCAGTGGCTCTGGTATGTCTTTCCCATATATGGGTTATCTAGGGGAGGAGACTCTTACCTACTACATACAGAGAGGAAAGATCTTTAGACAGTTATGGTTTGGTTCCAATGGATATGAACTAAAAATCATGACCTCCAGTGACTTTTTACTTGATAAAAATCTGGACTTAAAATAAAGGAACAAATGGTATCAAAAGCATGGCTGAAATCTTGAGAGGACATTCCAAGAGATAATCTCTGTACTTGCAAGTCCAGGTTCTTCAAGTGTTATGTAAGCTGCAACATGGCTTGTCAGAGGAAGATTTTACAAGAAGTGTGTGGGTTTGTTGACTTTTTTTCATTGCTCGTGCTTCATATTTCACTGATGCTTGGGATCTGAAAATGACTGTGATCCTGAACAGGCATCATAAGCACCCAGCAGAAGTATAAATGAAATGATTGTTCTACTTAGATTGAATATTGTGCATTTCACAAGTAATGCAGCAACTATAAAATCGGTATCTTACCAGAGGTATCATTAAGGTCTATACAATCAGACACTTTAGGATTTTTCATTTGTGGGAACACATGAAACTAGTGTTTTTTAAGCATTATGTCTTTTTCAGCATAAATCCTGAATAATTCTACTGTGAAATATGACAAAATTTCTTTCCTTCATTTAACAGCTCTGTCTTATTTTTTTAAAAATCTATAGTATTTCTGGTGTTCTTGGAAGGAAAGAGAAAAAAAAGAAATACAGAACCACTAGAGTAGATGGCTCCAGGACACACTATCATTATTCTATGCTCTTCAAATTATTCTTAAAATTTTTACAATGAAACAGGACTCTTAAGATGGAAGGCACTGGGCAAAGCAAAAGGGTGTACATCATTATAAGTAGTTGAATTCAAGCACTTTGTCTGCAGAATACTTTGCAAACTTTTCTTTAACCCATTGAGATTTACCATATTCTCAAAAAGCCCTTTTCATAGGTGTCATAAAGCACATTATTTTAGAGGGATAACCAATTAAGATTTAATCTTAAAATTACAGAAAAATTATCACCCTCTTAAATGAACTGATCTGATTATTAACTACACATATACTTGAAAAAAACCAGTTTTCTTTATCTAATTTGACTCTAACTATAGCCAGGGAACCTTATAATGCTATATTAAACAGCCTCTTACTTATCCATTTATACACTTATACACTATGGTTAAAAACGCCCTGTTTAAAAAAAATTAATTATTCCAAACTCTCTGGTGTCCGACTTAGCAGGTTTTCAAAGGAACAACTTCTACAAATGCTATAATTCTTGTTTCTTGACCATTTTCTCTCTTTTTCCCCTTTATCCCTTCTCTCCTCCCAGTACTTTCTTTCCCTATAAAAAGTGCACCATTAAATTACAGTGCTATAGCAGGAGAATTTGTTCCTTATTCCTATCTACTCAAATGAGTCTCAGATCACTCATTCTCCTCCTTCCCAGTTTTTAGGAAGAAAACACCTGAGAGGGATGGGTTTGAACAGTGATTTGCTTGGGGTTTTTATTGCTGCTTATTTCTCTCAGGTATAACTATGTTCTGTTCCTTGGTGGAATAGCTGCTTTAAGGTTGTCTTCCACACCTGTCTCTACCTTACTTCTCAACTGTTCAGTTCATCATATCTGTCTAATACTTCTCTCATAAGGAACTGTGGAGCTCTTGTTATTTTGTACAGCAATTTTGTAAGCATTACAGTAGACTTCTACTCTCTTTTTTCCTGCCCACTTTTTTTTTAATTCCCATTTCTTTACCAGTGGGAATTGTGACATCAGAAAAAAACATCACTCTCATTTCCCAAAGCTGTTTTCCTACTTGTGAGACTACTTGCTGTGAATGCAGAGGAATGTTGCAAAGGAGAGATCATGGCACTTAATAGTTTCCAAGCTGTTTCTGAGTACTGTTGCAACTTCAGTATAGAAGTCCAAGGGGTCACCAGAGCATCAGGGTGACGAAGAAGGCAGCCAATACAATATCCTACCATCAAAAGACAGCCATGACACCTATTTTCTTTCCCATTTTACATAGCTTAATAGCCTGATACTCTTTAGAAAAGGATTAAATGAACATTGGGCAGTATTTACCTTAAATGCTGTACTGGAATGTAGCATGGAATAAATACACATTTATTAGTCAATGTTAAATACAATGTTTTAGCCCAGTCAGTGTGTATATCAGATATGCAACTGTTTGATTAAAAGTGCTGCTGTCAATGCAAATACATGTCAAACTATCAACTAGCCACTTCCTCTACATCTAATTCAAACACTGCCAGCAGACAATTACAACTACCCTTTCTCTGAGCTTTCAACTATGGTTTATATAA